AGCTCCCGCGCGAATTTTCCAACCTGTCGAGTCTGGGATTTCGATTCTCCGACCGCGATTATAGCCTTCCGATATTCTAAATCTGACGCATATACCCTCTCACTCGTATAATCCGCGCACTCGAAAATTTCACGCGCAACGATTCGATTCATCCTTCTGGCTTATCCGCGAATACTACCCCGAGTCCAGTCGCGTCGTTGGAAACAATAATTAAGGAACGAATATCGCGAACGATAATTGCGACGAGGTACGAAAGGTCCATCGACATACTCGATGTGGCCGCCGGCGTCGCGATGACCCCGGAGGAAGCGAAACGTTCGAGGGGTTGCTGAAAGTATCAATTGAACGAATTCCGTCGTTCTCGCGGATCATTACAGTTCCCAACCCGAACCAGTCGACAGAACAGCGACTTTAACGAAGGTTGACACAGATTCTCAACGAGCCAAAGGGTGACCGAGGGTGTTTCTGTATCCGATAAAAATCGCGCCCCTCTCAGACGCCTGTCGGGCTTCCTTCATCTTGACCTTCTTTCGCGTGCTCGAATCAATCCGCCGGTATTTTTCGCGACAGCCGGGGAAACTCGCCAACTTTTCCGCTAAATAAGTCATCCCCCGCGTTGTTTCGTCGTCGACAGGGGGATGTTCGTTTCGTCCGTTGAAGTCGAGCAAACGATTCGCCGCGAACTTCGCCATTAACCTTTACTCTGCAACTCGCCGTTCTCCATCATGGCGTTGCCTGCCATTTTACGCGCACGCCGTTCCGCCAAGGGTGAAACGTGTCGGTTATTAATATGCACGCGTGTACTTTGGTGTCGGCGAAAAGTAATTCGCGATTTACGATGAGTTATCGGACAATTTTTCAGCGCGTTGACACGTTTCAAATTAAACCGATTTCCCGCTGAATTTTCGAACACATTGTTCTATCGGAAACACCCCGAATCGCATTATCGCGCCGCAACTTTCGCCGGGCGAGGTAAATCGCAGCATTTGTCCGGGGAAAATAAAATTTTGACAGAGTTAGTTCATTTAACTTCTGACGAGAACGCGGAACTTGTTTTCTCCCGGTTTTCAATAACCGACGATGCAAACTCTGATACATTTCCTACGTAACGGGATCCACGTCACATACTCGATTACATTTTTCCTCTTTTTCTGTCCCTCCTCCCTTTTTCTCTTTTCGTAGTTGTATTATCCGAGGATGATCGTCGGAACCGATTTCTTATTTCTCAGAGAAGACGGTATTCGTAAAAATTTTAGATTCCAGATTCCAACAATGGCGGAATGCTATTTCCTTTTTCGTATTATCCGCAAGGTATTCGGAATTTATCACCGTCGTAATTTCCCGGCATTTACTTAATTAGAATCTCGAAACAGGAGAGTTTAGGGAATCAAAATTTCCGAGATTGGCTATTCCGTTTTATCGTAAACGGATTTCAGTTTCGCGTCTCGATCGTAACGCGTAACAACGACACGACTCACGGGATGGACGTCTTTCGTTTTATTAAACTCTGTTACGACTTTGTTTACATTCGAACTATTTGTCATCGAAATCGTGGACGTGGAACGATGGCGGAAATGTCAGGCGCCACGCGAGGCAGTTAAAAACTTTTGCCCCCCGTTCATCGCCTTTTATTTTATCACTCGCGTATGAACAGAAATAACAGCCCGAAAAATTCGACGGGGAAAGGATGAACGCGTTAAAACATCGAGCGTACGAGAAAACTTAGGATTCGTGGAGAAACTCGTCATCGGTCTCGCGGTTTATTTTTCTTTATTTTTCTTAATTTCTTGCTACCAGCTTCGTGGATTTTCGAGTAAGTCGTGCAGATATTTCGACGAAATTTTGAGTGGCTGCCTTGGAGTAAACCGATACAACGACTTGCCCGATGTCGAGCCCGGATATAGACCTTGTACGCCGCGTGCGAATGACAACTGTTTGGGATAGCGTAGCAGAGATCGAGTGACTGTTTGGGATTGAACTTTGGTCTCCGTTGCAGCGCGTACTCGAACGAATCCTAGGAACGTACGTACAGTTTTGGACCAGTAGGGTACGCAGTTTGAATATGACAGCTACCCGCTGTAGTTTCGAGGATAACTCGCTCGAAGGGGCCGGAACAGGCGGGCTAAAATCGAATAACACGAACGAGAGGATAAAAAAGATACAAACGTCTTTAGTTCTCGGCGTTGGAAGATACAAATGGCATGGGACACAAAGGAACGTACGGGGGTAACGATAGGAAGGGTGAAGGAACAATGGGTAGGATGGAACGCAGGATTTGAAAGGGAGAAGCTGGACGAGCATTCCGAATGCTTTCGATAAATTCGAAATTGATCGGAAAATCCTCTATGTTCCGACCGATTGCGAACTCTGCGATATTCTCATGAAGTAAACTCGCTGCCAAACAGGCAGCAATCGTCCTGACCCCCTCTTCCGCGAACCCTTTTAATCGCGAATTTCATTAGTTAATTAAAAATCGCGTGGAACCTTTGGACCCGTTCCGCTTGACGCGCTTCGCGAATATGAATTGCCTCTGTTCCATTCAGACCTGTCGGACGGGACGCGTTTCCGCTTGCCGTATTACGTGCCGCGGGTGCGGCCACGAGCGAACGGGTTAACCCCCGGCCGGGCTGTTGTAATTCGTTGTTTTTAAGAGGGTCGACCGTCGACCACGGCAGAAGCTTGTCACGCGATCGCGTCGTTAAACGACCAGGATTAAAGCCAGCGTTAAAGTCAGCCACCGTTCTCCCACGCGAAACGCTCGTCCGTTCAAACGTTCAAATTTACGCCGCGCTATAATTCCAGGTTCCGCTTCCGATTACGCGTCGTTCCACCGCGCCGGATCGCAACCGGGCCAAGCTTCCCGCACGCTCGCCTTGCGATTTACGACCGATCCGCGAGATATTCGACGGCCGCGTTTGATACGGAATAAATTAGCCTGAAGTGATAGAACGTGGACCGGAAGTGCACCTCTGCGGACTTACGGCGCGCGCTTGGATCGATTCGGGGTGGAGGCAAAAGCGGAATAAACGTAATCTCGAATTTTTCTCGCAATTATTTCGGGCAGGTGATAGCTCAGGAAATAGTCTTTCATCCGTGTGTCGAGTGCAAAAATCGTGCGTGCCGTTGTGAACGACGTCGAAGGAAATTTCGTCGAGTTTCGTCTGACCTCTTTGTCTACGATATTATGAGGGATTAGCGAGCAGGAAATTGGACGAAGCACGACGCAGTGAAGGCCATGGTTTGTAGATAAGACCCAACGTAAACATCGTCAGGCTCGACAGGCTCGGACAGGCTCGCGGTTCATTTCCGCAGATATTTTGCTGTCTCAGTTGCGTGTTATTCCTCGCCGCATTCGGACGACGCGGCTCTGCGTGTGACCGACCTCGTGCGCTGTTGATCATGGCACGCGCCATCGGGACTTCAATCCTAAGGTAAGACGTTAATAATATATAATACGTCGTAGATCTTTACTTTTTACTCAAATCAAGTAGATAATCTGGTAAAAGATCCGTCCGCGAATTAGATAACTCGGAAAGAAAGCAAATTATTCGACTCTCTTTCTAAATTAAAAGATTATTACAAAGTTAGACAAAGCGTAACGGGGATTTTAAACGACCACCGAGATAATTAAAGAAAACCTAAAGACTGAGATCAAAGCTGCGTATTCTCTGCGGAAAGGGAGGCAAAATATCGGGCAAAAAGCGAGTGAACTCGGGCAACTCGTGGTCATGCATTTATCCGAAATATTTCCCGATCATTCCCCGCGATCAAAGGCGTTTGCATGCGATTGATGCCAGGGAAATCGCGCATTCGATCGACACAAGAGTGCACCGACTTCACTCGAGCTCTATCGCAAAGCGTACGTGACAAATACTCGATGCCTCTTAAATTCGGAAATCAGAAAAATTCCCGGGCCATGAAATCACGCGCTGTCCGTCCACCTGGTCTTGCGTTCTTCCGCCTTTGCGATCCTGCGCCGAATCACCGGTTTGATCGACCGATCCGGAACGCGAGGGGAGAGTGGGATCTAATTCGTCGTTTAACGCATTAGAAATTGGAAGAGGGTCCGTGAATCTGGTAAATAATTCGCAAATTCCTTTTAACAGTCGGAGGACAAATTCGTGGTAATTAATGAAATTAGGCGAGCATAAAATTTGTCAAAAATATATCTCTCTTGGAAGATTTCGAGTCGAATGTCACTCGACTAGAGTAATTAATTCCGACGCTGCCAATTTATTTATAGCGACTCGTGTCCCGAATACGGAGAGTCGAATTTCCGGATCAAAGTGATCACCGCGTGTGTAGATCTTCTCGTATCTGATAAGCTCGTTCAGCTAGAGGAAAGCTAGAGAAAAGAGCCGGAAGCGGTTAAAAGTAACGAAAATCCGCGTTCTCTGGAATATGTAATTGATTATAAAAGTTGGGCGAAAAAAAAATTATCTAAAACTGCATAGACGGTTACGACTTTGGGTTTTATCTTTAAACGCTGCCATTGGCAGAGGAAACTCAGATAGTTGAAACAAGAATCGCTATTCATTCGGCCCTCGTTTCACTCTATGGTATTGCGAACGAGGAAACATTAAGCACAGTATCATTACAAAGTTTGAATAGGATATCGATTTCTGCGAAATTTCAATTGTGCCTGGCGCGCTATTTTTTCGCGGATTCTCTTCTGGCAAAAAAAAATAAAAAAAAAAAAAAAAAAAAAAAAAAAAAAAAAAAAAAAAAAAAAAAAAAAAAAAAAAAGGAAAAAAGTGGAGGGAAAAATATAGCGATTTCATTACTATCGCGAGTGGAACGACTTTCCATTGGACGAAACATAACTCTCGTCGCTAGTTACGATAAATGTCTATGAAATACATATTCGTCGAATCTAACTCGTTGAAAAATATTCTATCTCTGTCGAAATGTTTGGTACAATAATATTTGATTAAACGTCGCGCTAGGCAAAAACAAACCGGCGGTATTCCTGATTTTAATTAACTGCTACGTTTTTCCAGATTGCACTATGGCTTTTAATATGGATCAAAGATTACTCGCCGCTGTCGCAGTCGTCGTGGTCGTTTTGTCGATGGCAGCAGTCCCAGGCAGCCATGGCGCATCGCGTCTAATCAAAATTGGTGAGTGACAAAACGAAGAGAAAATTTGTTAACGTCCTCAAAGGATTGATAAAGTTAATCCGCTTTGATTCTATTCGCGAAAAGTGCCCTTACATTAAATTAACTCTCTGCCATTTCGATGAAGACCGATATCGAATCTGTCCCCGGTCACGCGAATTTTCGCCACGGCAGAATTGCCGGATCGAAACCGAGACAAAAACGCGAAAAATCTACATCCGTCCAGCGAAATTTCGCTTTCGACGAAAACACCGAGTGCTACGAATTTCACGGAAAACAAAAGGTAAACCTGAAGGAAAAATAGAACATGCGCGGGTGAAAATTAAATTTCTACCAGTGTCGGGACAAAGCCTTTCGCCCTCCGCGTCCCGCGCTCTCCGGGCGAAGATAAACGTACACAACGAAACGTTCCATTCCGATGGGACGAAACGCGAACGAAAATATTTCCGAAATAACGATGCTAGCTAACTACGAGAGCACCTAGAGCACAGCCCTCGTCCCTCGAACGAAATAGACGATACCCAAGGCTCCTCGACTTCTTTCGCGTCCTTCTTTTCGACCCGAATAATTCGCGAACGAGTCGCAGGGCCGATACCACCGGGATCCTGTAAATTGCACGTACCTGAAATGTGGCCGCGTATCGTCGAACCGGAAGCACACCGCCGGTGTTTGCACTTTATAGGCGCATTACACGACTGCTCTCACGGAAGTCACGTACGTAGCCGCGGGTTACCGAAGAAGTACGCGTTTGTCATGGCGCCGGCTTAGTAGAAGCTCCCCTTATGAAAATGCCCAAATATTTAGAGAAGAACGGATGGGTTTCATAAGAGGTCTGTTCTAGTAGCTGCATTTACCATGATATGTACACACCGGGCCGCGCGCACATTCGTATACATCCGCCGCCGTGGTGAACGCGACGCGGACTGGATATTTCGTTGAGTAGCCCTGCTGAAAATCCCTCGGAATTCGTATACATACCTTGCATGCTGCCAGCTGATTCATGTCGGCGATCGTAACGAAAGAATTTTCTTCCTCGAGAGGAATTATTTAAAAGTTTCCCCGTCCGAGAGCATGGGCGAGGAGAAACTTCTTTGCCGTTCACCTCGAGGAACGTTCTCGTGAGGTGGCGTGTGAGATGAAAGGGTCGCGTGTTTCGTTAAAATTTAATACAACGCCGGTACAAGGCTGCTTAATTAAAGGAAATTCAAGCTTACTTCGGATCAGTGCTAAGACGGAATAGTTTATCCCGTTTTTCTCGTTAACAGCGCGAACCAGACGCGAAGCGCAAACACGCGGGAACGTCGCGTCGAATCGATCCCTCGAATTTTCGATAGATTTTTCTTTTTTTTTTATACTTCGACGAAACGTGTTGTCACGATCGAACACGAACTCCCAATATTTGGCGTGCTTCCCTTTCGTGTACCCAACATTTCCGATATCCGTATACGTAGCCCAAAAAGGCCTCTCCAAGGAAATCAATTTCCAATCGCCGACTCTCTTCTCTTATCTCGCATTTTTCTCACCTATCTCGTTGACGCGTTTGTTCGAATTAAACGGAAAATGGAGAAGAGGAAATATTCTTAACTCGAAAAGAATTTCCCCATCCTAAAGATGCCGGTAGATTAGATCTTCGATTCTCGTAACGCCTGACCTCCTTCGCTCGGTGCCACCTTCGAGATTTATAACCTTTGGGTCCCGGCATTCGAGAAACAACATTCTCGCGTGTAACGAGCGTGTCAAAGGCAATTACGCCTTGAAAGATGCCTCGAGGTACGAGATAAGGGAAGTTATACAACTATTTATCATCGTTTCCTTAAAATTGCCATTTCGATCCCCGCGCGTCACGCGAGGGTCCTCCTCGTCTCGAGTCACCCTCTTAGCACTGTGATTCCGTTTTATAATTAATCCCGGAATTTTTCGCATATTTTAACCGTAAGTCGGGATCGGGATAAATAGACGGTGGCCACGAGCCGCAAATTCGAGCAACCGTTCCGACTCCTTGCGCTAAGCGAGGCTGCATTCCGTATGGCTGACTATGAATGGGCCATTCTACTGCCTCAAGTCGAATCCCATTCATCAGCGTAACGCTATCGAACGACTCGGGTACAAATAATGAAATATCCTCGGATGATGCACAACCGACGGAAATGCGCCGCAATAACAATTTATTCTACAACCCTAATATGCGCGAGCCGAATTTACGAGCGAAAGGATCGGGGAGGTTAACGGTAATCGTTTTTATTATTATCGTTCTAAATTGCGCAATTTGTCGCGTCAAATTATACTATTTCGGGAATAGTTGACAGATCGGATAAATAATATCGACATTACTATAAATACTATCCGGTCGATTAGCCATTTCGATCCTATTGTCTTTGGTGTCTATGCCAGTCCACACCTGAGTGCTCGCAGCGCGTTATGGATGACTATAATCGATCTCCCGCGTCGATGATATTTCATTGTCGTTTTTCCTTCCGATATCGCAGTCTTGAAACGCCACTGTCGTAATTCCCGGTATCGCTTTGCTAATTTAAAAGCGACGCGAGCAACGCTACCCTAGGTCACGTTATTACAGATAGCACTCTGAGCGAAAATATGAGTCGCCTTGGCGGTGGAAATTTCGGCGAAAAATGTAATTACGCGATCTGCGGAACGAATATTCGTCTCGAGGTAAATTATTCCAGAACGCGATACGTGACCGGCATCGCAGAGACTCGTGTATTCATCGATATTTCTTTCCCGCTTTTTGTCCCGCCTTCGAGATAATCAACGAATTGTAGCGCGAGTGGGTGCAGCGACTCGATTGAATTATCAGCGAACAAGACACGTAAACGCGTTCGTACGAGGCTAGTTTTCATTGCTTTACGACCCTCTCTCGAGCCAGCGCGCGTCTCGCCTTTTCCACTAAAGCCGGTGTTGTTCACGAGAATTACTGGTCATTCGAAGGGTGTAAGGAACCCTCGTGGGCGGACGGTGAAAATTTCCAGCGTGCCAGCGCGATGTGACTATAAATAAGGATTATATCCGCGTACGACGTGTCGCGCGTATAAAATTATACGCCCCGGTCGGTGTTCGAATAGACAGCTTTACGGCCTGCCCCGTAATTTTAGTCGAACGTAATAAACAAGCAGAACTGCAAAACCATCCACAACGTTGCACAAGTTTAATCAGCTCCCTCTTCAGCTCCCGATCGACTTAACGATCTCTCGATCCCGCGTTCGGCTTTCCGTGAACGTGATCTAACGTAACGAAACGTCGGAGCTAATTCCGAGCTAATTTCAGGTCGATTTCAAATTAATTTCGAGTTAATTTCGAGTTAATTTCGAGTTAATTTCAAGCCGATATCGAACGAGCGACTCGATTGGTTGTGTGTATCGCGATTGAACGAAATCGGAAACGGAAGCGATATTTCGCGCGTAGATCGCTCGCGTCGTTACGCTCTTTCGATTACGTCGGGTCGCATTTTTTATGGTTACAACGATATCCGAATTCCGCTTGGCGCGCATCGATAGACAGAGATAGAAAAACACGCCGTGCAAAGGTACGCATATTCGCAGCGGTTTTTAATATCGAACGAGGGAAGTTGTTTCGCTCGTTGAAAATGCCGATCAACATTTTCCCAGCTCCGCAGCAACGGAAATATCAAACACGAGTAATATCCGTAACTCAGTTTGCCAGCGGAACTTAGCCGTTTCGTTGCATCTCGTCGCGCGGGATTATTCCGGATCGCGCGCACTTTTTATCCGAAAATTCGAATCACCCTGTAATTTATAGCCGTCGACGTTTCAACGAGCCGGCCGGTCCGTGTCGATGAGCCGTCAACAATTCGATTAAAAATGGCATTTTCCGTTTCGAGAGATCGAAACACCCCTGTATAGATAAATCCACTCGCGATTGCTTTGCGAAAGCTCGCGGCTCGTTTCGCGCGTCGCGTATAAGAAGTCTCGTTCATCCCTTCGGGCTGTGCGACGTTTATCGATATGTGGAGGGCGTAAAGGGAGGAAGCGGAAAGAAAGGGCCGTTTTCACGGGGAACGATGGAGGAGCGCGTGGACCCAGTGGTCTCGCGATGGCAGGAATGGCCGATTTCCTGTTCCGCGGAGCCTGCGGCTTCGGGGCTTGCAACGGGCGGAAGAGAACGGCATCGGGCCAGGTAGCGACTTCCTCTGCCCTGCCACGAAGGCGGCCACTCTTTTCAAACGTACGGCATGCCATCGCGAAAATACCCTTCCTCTCGAGTAAGTGATTACTTCCCTTTCAAACGTGTAACCGGATCGGGTATGCGTGCGCCACGGCTTTCAATGCAACCAAAGACGCCTTTTCATTGGCATTTCCCGTAGAAAACTGCGCCCGGTACTTTCGTACCCTTCCGCTGTGAACTTTTGATAACGTTATTACAAGTTGCACGCCGATCGAACGGCGATCCCGGTCGTGGAAGCGGTTCCTCGCGGTTCGCTTGGCTGAAATAAAGTTGTCCGCTAGGGACAGATAAGGGGAGAAAAGGAAAAAGGACGAGGAAGAGGGTGAGATGTGGAGGGGAAGAGAACGGGTTGATCGATATTCACCGGTAGATAAAGGATGTGATGTATCGCCGCGGTGAATGTGAGAACGGCGAGGATGCTGCTGGCATCGTTGACGGATGCCGCTGTTGCTGGAAATGATCTGTGGTTCCTAGGCGAAGAAGATATCCGCGCTCGATACGAATATGGCGGACGCGTCCTCCGACTCGCTTCGCTTCGTTTCCGCTCCTTCCAGCAAATTATTACCGCGTCTGCTTCTCCAATCGCGTTTGGGATATCTTAAGCGTTTCTTCTTTACATATTCCATACGTTTAAACGGGGAAACTTTCGTTGTTTCGAACCAACCCTTTCCAGCTGTCTCTCATACTTTCGTATTTTTCCGAATTATATTTGGAAAGGTGGAAAATTCTTAGCGAAGATCTCTTCTCGTACCGATTACGAGGACTCTCTGGAAACGTTTGCTATTTCCGCGCGAAAACTTTCG